CACACACACACACACACACACACACACACACACACACACACACACACACCTGGTGCTTACATCATTCAGCCTTTGCCATGAAATGCTCAATTATTGTGGTGATCTTGTGGAATTAAGATTCTCCTCAATAAACAGCTCAAGGGTGAAGACATTTCTGCCATGCCAGAGCTTGGCTGCATGGAAAGAAGCACCATCCTTTAGGTGCCCCTATGTGCAGGCTCATTTTGAAGACAAACGGGAGGCTGCTTTCTCGCTATTCATTCAAAATATTCTAAGCAGAGTTTGCCTGCCTGCCTGCCTGCACATTGCTGCCTGAAACCCATTCAAATGCAAACTGATTTAAAGCAACAGCAAAGAGTATAATTGGCCAGGGAATGAGACTACAATGTAAGTTTCATCTTTCCCACTTTCCCTTTACCAGGGCTGCCCGGGGGGGGGGCAAGTGGGGCAGGTCCTTCAGTGCCACCAAGGAGCAAGTGAAGGACCCGCTGCCCAAGACCCGGAGCTCCTTCAGCTCCAGGTCTTCGGCGGCAATTTGGCGGCGGGTCCTTCACCCGCTCCGGGACCCACCGCTGAAGTGCCCCAAAGATCTGGAATGGAAGGATCCCTGCCGCCAAAGACCCTGGGCCCCCTGAATCCTCTGGGCAGCCCTGCCCCTTACTGGAGTTCTTTAGTATCTGCTCCTTCGTTAGTTTCAGTTATTACCCAGGGCTGTAATTTAGGGTGCTCAGCTTGAGACTGACTTTCAGACAGTGCTGGACAGCCCCTTCCCCCCAGAATCAGCCCCCCCTTTAAGGTGTCTCAAGTCGGGTACCCAAAATTACCAGTCACTTTTGAAATCTTGGCCTTGCACAATGACGAGTCCAAAGGCAGCTCAGTTAGCTGGTCCAAAGAGAGAGGCCTTATGAGGGCCACAGACAGTCAGATGTACTATGGATTGTCACGTTTTTTCCTGGTGTGGACCACGTGCCAGAAGATGGAAGCCTCCCTTCCCATTTGTGGCC